GCTGCAGCTGCTCCCCTGCCGCAGGGCCAGGCCCGCCCACGTCCGGAGCTCCAGCCATGCCGCCGCCAGCAGACCGCGCTGCTGCTTCCTCCAAGCTCCGGCGGCCGCAGAGAGGCAGGGAAAGGTAACCTCCCTCCCGCCCACCCGACCGCCCAGGAAGGCCCTCCTTCGGCAAGGAAGAAGGGCAGCAGGCTGGGCGGTAAACGTCAGGCGGGAGGGGACTTTTGAACCTGACGGGGAGCGAGAGGCCGGAGAGACAGGCGAGGGGCGGGGCGAGGGTCGCAGGGCGGGGCAAGGGGCAAGGGGCGGGGCGAGAGGCGAGGGGCGGGGCGAAAAACAAGGGGCGGTGCTGGGCCAGATGCTGGCGCTAGGAGCTGGGTCCTGCGACTTGCTTTAAAGGCAACACCCCGGCTGCAGCGGGCTTCGCTGCTGCCCACCCAGTGTGGGTGACAGGTCTTTATAAGCGTTGTTCTGCAGCCTCCTGCTGCCTGTTTTTTTTTTCCACATGCATTTATTTTATTCTATTCACATTGTACAATTGTTACACAACCTACAAAAAGTACAAAAGCCTAGTCCATTTTCCAATGCCAGGTCAGAACCGAGTTGCCGAAAAGGGAGACAGCACAGTAAGTTACAAGAAGAGCTCAGGGGTCCTGTACAAGTCACATGACATATTTAAAGCTGTAAATATTGCCACAGGAGACTCTCTTGTCTTTGCAGCGACCACACAGTTCTTGTCGCTGGGGCCTCCTTAGATCAATGTGTCTTTTGAGGACAGGAACAATGAGACTTTAAGCAGGTCTGACATGGGATTGCTTCTACTCGGTAAGGGTTAAAACTCTTTTGGTATTTACAACAGAGTTGTTTGAAATAAACCTTGTTAGTTCCAGAAATGTACCACACGTAAGCACTCTCCCACCTGGCTATTTTCACTGCAAAGATTGTAAGACCAGGTGGGAGAGTGCAACAGGTATTGTGCACAACACTTCTTATCTGGGGGCTGGAGCCTTTAAAGGTTTTCTAATAGAAAGATACTGTAAATCAATGCAGTGGGAGCTGACAGACTTGTGCTCTTAAGATATTTATGGGGCCGGGCGCAGTGGCTCACGCCTGTAATCCCAGCACTTTGGGAGGCCAAGGCAGGTGGATCACGAGGTCAAGAGATCGAGACCATCCTGGTCAACATGGTGAAACCCCATCTCTACTAAAAATACAAAAAATTAGCTGGGCATGATGGCGCGTGCC